CGCCCCCCCCCCCCCCCCCCCCCAAAAAAAAAAAAAAACTTCTTAGGGGAACATTTCTCCCACTAGGAGTAGGAGTGTTTCTTTTTGTCTGGGAATAGATGTTTGCTGAAGTCTCTCTTCTGTTGTTTTTACCAATGTGATCTCAAGAGGGGAACTCTACTGAGATGTCTAAAAAGCAGTATCTCCGTTTTCACAGGTTGATCAGTGCAAGGAAGGATCCCAGAGACACTTGCCTTACTAGGGAATTTCAGATATATGATTCTAGACCTGTCTCGTCCCTCTGTCAGTGTAAAAAGTGAAGAGGAGAGGATATTATGAAACGAAATGAAAGACAACAGAGAGAGATAATGAAAAAGTCGCGTGCCATGCATTAGCACGGCACGTGATTTCACCAGAGGCCTGTAGGTGGACCTTGTGTCTGCTACCTGGAAGGGACAGTCTGTGGAAAGAGGCAGAGCTAGGAATTACCAAGAGAATAGATGGGCTCCAAGGGGGAAAAAAAAGCTGCAGAAAATTTCTATCTACCTACCAAGGAGGTGGAATCTTGGGCTGGGGAGACTGGAAGTGGGGTGGGGGTCAGAGATGACCCTCCCTCAGTGTCCCTTGCTGAACAGAGGCCTGTAGCTGGACCTTGTGGCTGCTGCCTGGAAGGGACAGTCTGTGGAAAAAGAGCCAGAGTATGATTTTGAAGGTGAGGTTTTGAAGAGGAGCCAATTGTGGCCTTTATGGGAAGTGGCCAATCAGAGTATGGTTTTGAAGGTGAGGTTTTGAAGGGGAGCCAATTGTGGCCTTTGGCATTGTGCAATTGTTTGCTTTCTGAGAAACTGAAACCTAATGACCTTGGCAGACTCGCTGGTGCGCAGCCTCCCACACCAGCCCTTTCTCCTCTCCATAACTATCAGGTATCAGCAATCTATGTTGTATCAGTATTATTTATTCATTGAGATTAATTTGAATATAGAAGCATTGACTGTGTGTTTTAAGATAACTAATTATTTGGTAAGATAGTTTCATTTAACTTCTTTGAAAACTAACATGATAAAAACAAACTAACCTAACTTTGGAAATGAAAGAAATTATAAAGTTCATTCCTTGAATACTAATTTGTTGGGACCAGCAGTTGGTGTAATGGCTATGTCGCTGGACTCCCATGTAGTCGACTGTGGTTCAAGTCCTGGACCTAGTGGCTTAAACTCATGCTGGCGTGCATGTGTGTGTGTACCCAAGATCCTGAGAGAAGAAGGGAGGAGAAGGGATTGCGGTGGGGCGAAGAATGGAGGAGAAGGGTAGTGGGGTTTGTCCATTCCTTCGGGGGGGTGGGTGATTTCTTGCTTTCTATCTCTCTGTCTTTCTGGAGAGCACATGCGCCCTATAGCAAAAACCTCTCAAAAAAAAAGAAAAAAACAACTAAATTGTTATTTTCAGTAAATACTGCACTGATTTCAAAATATACAATTATTTATATTTAACAATTCTGTGCCAATTTATTTTTTCTTTTTGATAGCTATGCTTGTATGTTGAAAGCTAATTACATATTATTTCTTAGATGTGTTTTATGTACCTTCTTTTATGAGTGGATCAAGAAACTTTAAGATGGCTAAACTAGAGGATACAAGAAATGTAGGCATGCCAGTAGCTCACATGGGTATGGAAAAAAATGAGTATTTTAATGAACTGTTATTCTACAAGTGTATCCAAGCTGGTCAATTCTGAATACTTTCTCTGATGATAAATGCATTCAGCTAGACCATCATCAGAGTTCGGTCATAACTGAACTGATAGTTGTCACAGACAGTTGTCATCACAACTCTTTATGTCCTAAATTACAAGACAGATGGGAGAACATGATAAACACTTGTAGTATAATGGTATAAATGATTTCGATATGTTCCATTAAATATATGCTGCTGCATTCCACCATCTGCTTTGACATTTATGCTCTCAGGATGATTTACATCTCCAATTAAAGATCGTTTTTCTCCCCATCAGTCAGCATGTTCATATTGGTATATTGTGCACTTTTCTATTTTAGTCATAGGCATTTGGAACATAATCCCACTTTTGAAATCTTAACTGCATGTGTCCTAAACCTATTTTCCTTCAGTATATTTCTGTCATGTTTCTGTCCTAACCAAAAAAAAATCACCCAAAACCTAAAGTAACCATTTCCAAGTCAAGCCCGAGGATTCAGCTCCATACTAACTCTGCATGAATGTGTGAAGTGGTTTTGTCATATTTGCATATAATTGATATCGGTCCCCTTTGCTTTTTAGAGTCTCCTGCGAAGTCTTCTCCCTTGATGGTAATAACTTATTTTTTTTTATCTTGAATTATTAACTATATATTGTATGAAAAATACATTACTTATTTATCATCTTGTTCCAAAACCTATTCAGTCTACCCTTGAAATGAAAGGTTCTGTACCAAATAAAGCAATAGGAGTGACGGATGGACCAACACCAAGATCAGGTAAATTTTGCAATACACATTTAACTCTGGAAACAAATATGTTAAAATATTTCAAATGTTCGTAATCTTCTTATTCCTGATTGTTGTATTCCACTTTTGATGGAAGGGCTTGACGTAAATGACAATATCATTGTTGATATCTATCTTTGAAAAAAATATATTCAGAAACATAAGAAAAAGAGATTTTAAAAAAATGTAAGCTTTAACTCAGATGTTTCTGATATTATGTTTTGATACCCTAAAGTACCAAATTTGTAATTCCTGTATTTGGTAGGGATACAGAGGTTAATCATGAGACTCTAAGTTTTTCCACTGTTTTTGAATGCTCATTGGAGTTCTGATCTTCCAAGGAGAAGCTTTACTTGCCAACTTGTCATTTGTGTTTTACCTTTAATTATTTCATTTTAATATTACTTGATGAGCTTAAACCAGTCACATTTTCTGATTTTGCAGGCTTTGCGTGTATGCGTGTGTGTGTGTGTGTGTGTGTGTGTGTGTGTGTGTGGTGTCTCCTGTCTTTGATTATCAAATATGGGGAAAGTAATCGATCACTCTCTAATGACTGGTAGATACAGTTTTCTAAAACAACAATCCTAAAACTTTTTGGCATTAAGGTCCTTTTATACTGTTAAAAATTATTACAGATCCCAAAGATCTTTTATTTAATTGAGATGTATCTATTGGTATTTACTGTATTAGAAATTAAAATAATTTAAGTACAATTGTTCACAGTCATATATTCCAGCAGTCATTACAGCTGTGACCCACTAACCATTACAGCTCTAGTGTTATGACACATCATGTCTCAGAAAAACTCTATTGTATTCTTTTTCAAATTAAAAAAAAATTTATTATAATTATTTTTTAAATTTTGAACAGAGGGAGACAGAGAGAGAGAGCTCAGGGTGCCAGGTCTGGGACTCAAATTGTGGTTGGCCATGTGGGAGTCCGGCACCCTTAACCACCATGCCACCTGTTGGCCCCTAAAGATTTTTTTTTAAGAATTATTAATTTTATTTATTATTATTATTATTTTTAAATTTGACTGGAGAGAAAGTGAGAGAGAAAGGGAAAATGAGAAAGCAAGCTGCCAGTTCTGGGAGTTGAACTGTGGTCAACCCTGTGGGAGTCCAACACCTTAACCACCACACTACTTGCCAGCTCCAAGATTTTCTCTATTGTTTTCTTACAAGAAAATGAAGTTGAAAATAGCAAATAACAGTGTTGTTTGACCTCTTGAATCCCTTGGATGTATCCTGAAACCCCTGGATCTCAGATCACAATTTAGAACCACCAATTTAGTGGGCCAGCAGATGGTGTAGTGGTTAGGTTGCACGACTCCCATATGGGTGACCAAGGTTCGAGTTCTAGACCCAGTGGCTTGAGAATCATGCTAGCCACATGTATTTGTGTGCCCTAGATCCCAGAAGAATGAAGGAGAAGGGATTGTGATGTGGCCATCCCCTGGGGGAAGGGGGAAGGTTCACTTTCCCTTTCACTGTCTGTTTCTCTCTCTCCAGTGAACCACACACATCCTAAGACAAAAACCTCTGAAAGAAAAAAAACAAAACCCATGAATTTAAACTATGTACGTAGGATCTGTGTATGTCAAATGTAAAGGTGGCCGGGTGGCGATAGCACATAGGTAGTGTGCCATTGCTTGGGATGCTGCCAACCCCTCCTTCACTTGTCTTAAGAAATTTAAATCTGTTTTCAAAGAAAAATACTTCTGTTATATATTTATTTTCTGTCTCATGGTATTCTGTACTCTTTGGGTCTAGTGTAGACCTAGACTTATCCTATTTTCTAGAGGAACTATTAGCTCATGAAAAGCTATCTTTTAAATTATGCATTTATGATGTTTATTAAAGGCATAAAAAGTGAGCTCTGAAGATATTGGTGTGCTGTGGGAAGAACATCTGGTTGTAATTAAAGTTGTTTTAAATTATTTATTATTTAAAAAATTTTAATGCCATGTCTCTAGAACACACAGTACTGATATGCATATTTCAATTTTTTTTCTTCTGGAGAGAGATTTTTATTATTGGGTGTATGCTCTTGCTGGAGAGACAGAAATGGAGAGACAAAAAGCGAGAAATCACCCCCCAGGGCAGATGGCCACGCCACAGTCCCTCCTCCTCCATTCTTCTCTCAAGATTTTGGGCACATACACTTGCCCTCAGTGAGTTTTAAGCAGCCAAGTCCGGGACTCAAACTGCGGTTGGCCACGTGGGAGTCCAGTGATGTAGCCATTACACCATTTGCTGAATATTTAAATTTAAAATGGTTTAGGGCCAGCAATGGCCTGGTGGTTAAGGTGCTGGTTTCCACATGATTCACAGCATACTTCAAGTCCCAGACCCTGCAGCTTGAAAATCACACTGTGCATGTGTACAGACATCCCCAAAATCCTGAGAGGAGAAGGGAAGGACAGCAGCGAGGCTATCCCCCTTGGGGGGTGATTTCTCACTTTCCCACTCTCGCTGTCATTCTGCCTCTGGTGAGTACACATACCCTATACAGAAAAGCTATAAATAAATAAATAAATAAATAGCCAGGCAAAAATAAATAAATGAATAAAAAAGTCAGGCTAGCTAAATAAATAAATAAATAAATAAAAATTTAGGTTAAATAAATAGGCAAGTTTATATTATTAAAAAATTCATTAATAAATAATACTCTCCGGAAAACAAAATATGTATTCGAAGTTGTATAGTGTCACCAAGGGAGGGAGAAGAAGGCAGGGGGGCGAGGTGTGAGTGGTTGGCAGTGGAAAGGGGAGGGCAGGGGTCGTGGGGATTCTGAGCCATGGGCTGGTCTCAGGGACGGATAAAAAGCTGTCGCGCCCTGTGTAAGGGCAGCCAGGAAGGAAGGGCGCACTTGCGCCATGAGAGTTCCATGGGGCTGTGCTGGCGGGTGTATCCGTGGGCAAGGGCCAAGGGCCAGGCACGCGCTGTGCTGGGATATCAGTTGGGCACTGGACCTGACTTGGCTACACGGCTGTGGCACTGCGCCTGCTCGGTCCTAGCGCCCCTCGACTTCACACTCCTTAAAGCCGCCCTTGGGCAGGAACCAAGGCACCACAGGCAACTGTGGTTGCCGAAGACCCCGGCTGTCCTCGGAGAAGCTGCCTGTGCGCATGGGCCTGGTGATCACCTAGGAGGAGGAGCCCAGCTTCTCAGACATCATGAGCCTCATGTCGTGTGGTGTGTTGTGGTGTGGTGTGGTATAAGGCAGTAGGCATCTCCTACATTAGGGTCTACGACCACCATGGAATTAAGAAATTATTCCAGATCCATGGATGACATTTTAAAACAAGAAGAAATTCTGGGCATAGATTGTTCCAAGTACTCACCAGAGTTTGGAGGCTGTAATGACAAAGATGATCAAGGTTTCTTTTATTTTTGAATTTTTAAAAATAATTATTTTATTTACCTCTGTTTATTTTAATTTAACCAGAGGAGGACAGAGTGGGGGGTGAGGGGCAGTGAAAAAGCAAGCTGCCAGGAGAGAGAGAGAGAGAGAGAGAGAGAGAGAGAGAAAGAAAGTGAAAAAGCAAGCTACCAGGTCCAGGATTTGAACCACAATTGACCATGTGGGAGTTCAGTGCCCCTAACCACCATGCCACCTGCTGGCCCCAAAGATGGTCAAGTTTTAAACTGTCATTCGGCAGTGAATGCGCTATTCCCAGCAGATGGAAAAGCAGATACTGTGAGAGGTGCCCAGGACTTTTGCCAGTTCATAGCCTAGCAGCAAAAGATATCCACAGATTGGATGTAGACAGGCTAGACATTTACTCGGTTCTGATGGGTGCCCTGATCCAGACTTACTGTGGGAGTTCGGTCCTGTGGGCTGCATGTTAGGCTTTCTTCCCCGGCACATCAGATTGACGGAGATGATCTCTTCACCTTCTCCCGAATGTCAGCTGTGGACTTTTTTTCTGCTCTTAGTCAGTATGCAGCCTGCAAACTGCGTCTGGCAAAGTAGTGATCCCCGACTGCAGAATGTGACTTCAGGCTTTTGGAGAAAAGGACCCCAGTGACTCTGATGTTTACAAAGCACCTATGAAACCTTGTTCATAATTCTTATAATTCATCAACAAACACAGAGAAGTATCTTACTTGAGAGTGTGTGTGTACATGTATTCATGTCTGTGTGTATGGAAATACACTTATAAATAAGGGAAGTGTTGGAGGAGGAAATACCTGCACCTTTGAGCAACTAGCAGCACTATTTTAGGAGCAGAAATTTTAGATTTAAAGACTTTAGCCCCACCTGCTTCCCTGTTTTTGTGGGAGAAGAAAGGATGATTAGAGCTGTTTCAGTTGTTGTTTGGGGGGAGGAAAATAATGTTTGTTTGGTCTTTCCCAGTGGCCAACCTTTAATTTTTAAGAATAATATATTGATTTATTAAGTGGAAGCATTCTGAGCTTGAGAAGCTCCAGGGGGATGGAGTTCTATGTTGCTCACATGTTAAAAGTTTGCTCACCTTTGGAGCAGAGCAAGTACCTGTCTTCAGATATCTGTCCATTTCCTCCTCTATTTGGTATTCCATGCAACTTACAAATCTTGCTCTGGTGTTCTGGGTTTTTTCAGATCATTTTGTAAAGGACTTTTAGTACATTGACATAAAAATTTAAGTATTGAATTAGCCAGTTTTATTATTTTTAAAGAATTATTTTATTTAACTTTATTTATTTTTATTTTTTTTTGAGAGGTTTTTGCTATGGGGTGCATGTGCTCGCCAGACAGACAGAAAGCGAGAAATCACCCCCCATGGGGGATGGTCACGCTGCCCCTTCTCCTCCATTCTCCTCTCAGGATCTTGGGCAGGCACGCACACGTGCCCGGCGTGAGTTTAAGCCACCGGGTCCGGGACTCGAACTGCAGTCGACTACGTGGGAGTCCAGCGACATAGCCATTATACTAACTGCTGGTCCTTACTTATTTTTAATTTGACCAGAGAGGGACAGAGTGAGAGCAAGCGAGAGAGAGAGGGAAAGTGAGAAAGCAAGCTGCCAAGTCCAGGATTCAAACCGTGATCGGCCATGTGGGAGTCCAGTGATCTTAACCACCATGCCACCTGCAGGCCCCCAAATTAGGCAGTTTTAAAAAAGGTAAATAAGGCATAGTCTTTTTTTTTTTTTTTTTTTTTTCCCCGAAGAGGTTATAGGTGCGTGTACTTATAGGAAAGACAGACAGAAAGCAAGAAATGACCCCCCAGGTGATGACCATGCTGCAGTCCCTTCTCTGTTCTCCTCAGGATCTTGGGCATGCACGCACATGCACACACACACGCACGCAGCATGAGTTTAAGCTTCTGGGGCCAGGATTCAAACCGCAGTCGACTATGTGGGAGTCCAGCGACAACCATTACACCATTTGCTCTTCCCAGTAAGGCACAATCTTTAAAGGAAAACTTCCTTTGAAAGGAAAGAAAATTTCTATTTCCTTTTTTGTTTGACTGAATACTTTGGGAAGTTATTAAGGCACTCCTTTTCTCAAAGTAGTCTCTTCCTCTTTGGAATAGTGCATTTAGGGCCATGTTAATACCCAGAAGTTTTACTTAGTACATCTGGATGGTGACTTTGCATAAACGATCTTTAAGTAGGATCGAGGACTTTGTAGGGAAGAAAATATTATCAAAGTCTAATTTACTGTTTTTCTCTATGACAGAACAACACTGTTTTTTGTTATTTTTTAAATTAATAAATTATTTAATACGTGTTTAATGTTTCTTACCTCACTACTGAATCCTTGGACAGAATCCATTCTTTTTATTTCATGGCCTTTCAGAGAGCTTTCTAATCAACAAATGTACAATAGTTATTTAAAACTGTACCTTTAGAATGGAGTAGTTCAAGTATTAGATCTCAGGAGTCTGAGAAATAGCAAAGAAGACTGGATTGGAAAAGCATGCTCTGGAATTGCTAGTCAAATTCTGAAGCTATGAAAAATAAATGTTTCAACTTTGGATTACAAAACCCCATTTATGATTTTAAAAATATACTTGAAATAAAAATGATTAAACTAAAGTAAAAAGAAATTGTGAGAACAGCAGATGGTGTAATGGTTATGTCGTTGGACTCCCATGTTGACCATGGTTCGAGTCTTGGACCTGGTAGCTTAAAATTCACACTGAGCACATGTGCCTCTTTGCCCAAGATCCCGAGAGGAGAATGAAGAAGAGATTGCAATGTGGCCATCCCCCCTGGGGATTGGCTTCTTGCTTTCTTTCTCTCTCTGTTTCTCCGGCGAATGCATACGCCCTATAGCAAAACTCTCAAAAATAGATAGATAGATAGATAGATAGATAGATAGATAGATAGATAGATAGATAGATAAATAAAAAGAGAAAGAAATTGCTTAGTGAATCAAAGTAAATAACACTAAAAGGTAAAAATGTGGGTGAAAAAAACAAGAGATGACAGTTAAACTTATCTGACTGAATGGCAACAAGTATAGGGTATGTAAAATACAATAAGCCATGAAGGACCAACATGTTTGTGGGGGAGAGGAGGATGTGGGACTGCTTCTCTGAAAAAAGAATGTGTACAAATTGGTCAAGTTTGTATTATGTATCTTCTAATAAATGAAAACTTTGCTTTCAGATTGGGATTCTACTAGTTTGAACCTCAGTAGTAAGACTTGTCAAAGATCCAGAAATTTGAAAGTTGATAAATGTCCATTTGTATCACAATCATTGACCAAAATTCAGTCAGCATCCTCACTATTGGGAAAGAAGACCTTAAAAGACAAAGAAGGAGAAAAGCATAATATTGGAGCTGTGTTTCTATTAGGAAATTACAGTCTCCATGATCTGTGTGAATCACAGCTACCAGATAACAAAGAGAGCAAAAAAGGTAATACATGAAGAAGCATAGAAAATTCAGAGTACTTCTGCCTGGCTTCGTAATACCATAGTTCTGACTTTTCTGAAATCGTTTTGTAACAAAATTTACTTTGTGTCTACTTCCTTCACAACCTACAACCAAACAAGGCATTCATATTCTTTTAAGTACATACATTGTAAAGAGAATTAGGAAAAAGAGTAATTTCGTTTAGGCTGCTATGTAGCATAAATGTGAGAGTGAGTACCAGGATTATATTTAGAACTTTTGGCCTAGATGGGAAAACTCAGTAAAGATCTAAGGTTGTCTACTCAAACATAATGTGATTTCTTTGCTTTTGCTTTTACAGCTCTCAATTCTGAAGTTTTAGTAATATGATATGCAATATAACTGAAAAAGCCACCTTTCAAAGCCAAATATTAAATTATATCTTATAATTTCTACGACTTTATGGATTACAGAATTGACTTTCTCAGACTTAATGGGAATCATTTAGAATTTGCTATGCAGGAGGGTCTCCAAACCTGGTCCATGAACTAGTGCAAGACAGTAGCCTGTTGCCCACCTCCCCCTCCAGCCCTGGTTGGTCAGTGTGGGGTGGGTGGTGGGCAGTTGCACTACAGAGGTGTTGGGGTGGCTGCACAGCAAGGCGTGGGCCATGGGCCAGCAAGGCTCTGTTTGTATTTGCAGCCATTCCCCATCACTCAAATTGCTGCCTGGGCTCTACCTCCTGTGGGGTCATTGGTGGTACTTGATTCTCCTGTTGTGTGATTGTTTCACTGTATGTTGGCAGCGTGTTCACGGTGGAAATGGGGTGCATGGTGTATGTTGTGTACTTGGGTTTTCCTGGGAACAACCCCTATGCCAACCCTCCCAGCCCAGGGATTGTCTTCCACTAGGCTGGTCTAGGCTGAGGGAAAGGTTGGGGACTGCTGCTCTACAGTATCTTCTCAGCCCTGCCCAGAGCCTGCCATCTTCTTTTAATGAATAATAGTTCACAAGGAATATTGATTTTAAGGGGTACTGTATCATTTAAAACTATATGAAGATCAACCCTAACTTTACTAGTACTCAGTTGATTAACTGCATCTACTCTGCACTCTATTTTATGTACCAGTAAATTCAGTGCCCTTAATCAATCATAACATCAGGTCTGTAGTAATAAATCATACATTATTTTTTCACCCATATAATTTTTTTTCTTACTCGAAGAATTAGCATTGAATTTTATATAAGATTTTCAGTTGTCTCCTAGAGTAGTGACTGCAGGCTATGTAAGTCCAAAGTTATTTAGCTGTACAAGTGACTTGTGTGCTCTTACTCTTCATGAGCTTGGCAGATTCAAAAAACAAAGCTTTTAAAACAAAAAACCTAGGGTGAGTTCCCTCAGCCCAGGAAGATGTGACACAAAGAAACTATCAAGTGAATTCCACAATTTAAACAGTTCATGTAGATTGTTTCCCTTTCCACTGATGACATTTTGTAAATTAATGAGTGGAGTCCAGTTCTTTAGAGATCTAGATTAGTACATTTATTAATTTAATAAAAATTAGTTATACTGGACTCTGATTATTTTTATTTCCTAAGTATTTCTGGAAACATTCCCTTAGTTTAGGCCTGCATCTTTACTTTTAGTTTTGCTCTCTTGTCTTCCAATTTGTGACCCTCTATTCAACTCATATGCCCCTTAAATTCATCTTGCCCCCATCACTTAAAGTCATCTGTCTCAATGCAAATATGATCATAAACCACTCTTTAAAATATAAATGTTCAGGGAACCAGCAGTTAGCGTAATGGCTATGTTGCTGGATTCCCACGTAGTTGACCGCGGTTCGCTTCCCGGACCCGGTGGCTTAAAACTCACGCTGGGTGTGTGTGCGTGCGTGCCCAAGATCCCAAGAGGAGAATGGAGGAGAAGGGATTGCGGTGTGACATCCCCCCTGGGGGGTGATTTCTCGCTTTCTGTCTCTATTTCTCTCTCTGTCTGGCGAGCGCACGTGCCTTATAGCAAAAATCTCTCCAAAAAAAAAGTGTGTGTGTATATATATATATATATATATATATATATACACATACATATAAATGTTCAGGGCTGGCAGGTAGCATGGTATGGTGGTTGAGGTCCTGGACTCCCACCTTGTCAACTATGGTTCGAGTCCCAGACCAAGCAGCTTGCTTTCTCACTTTCCCTCTCTCTCTCTGTGTCTCTGGTCAAATTAAAAAATGAATAAATGAATAAATAATTCTTTAAAAAGAATTTTAAAAAATTAAGTATCTTAAAATTACATGTAAGGCTTTCTGGTCCTGACTTCTGCCTGATTCTCCATTGTCAGCACTTTCCTCTGCTGCCTTTTTCTCTGGCATTACTGAACTGCGGACAATGCCTCCTCACAATCCCCATATTTTAGACAAATACAGACCCTATTTAATGCTTCTGTCCCTCTCTTGGTACTGCCTTGCGTGCTCACACTCTTTACAGCCTCTGCCCCTTTTAATTAGGATAATCTCACTCTTTAAATCGCAGCTTAGGCATTATTTCTAGAGAAGCCATTCCTGACACCTCTCATGTACATTCTCTATACTCCAATGCCTAGCTCTTTGCAGATACTCCATAAGTAATTATTGAGTATTAGAAATAAAGACTGTTAACAAAGATTATGTAATAGATTGTCCCTAGTAGTCTAGGAGCCAAGAAAATAGACATTGAAAGATGCAGTAGACAAATAGGGACCAGCAGGTGGTGTGGTGGTTGAGGTTGTAGATACCCACATGACTGACTGTGGTTGAGTCCCAGACATGGAGGCTTGCTTTCTCACTTTTCCTCTCTCTGTCTCTCTCTGGTCAAATTAAAAAATTATGATAATAAATAAAATTAAATAAAATAATTCTTTAAAAAAAGATACCAGTAGAAAAATAGATCAGGTACTAGGGTAGAACTAAGGAAAGAGGTTTTTATTTATCTAGGGGGAAGAGCCATAATCAAAGAAAACTTCACATAACAAGCTGAATCTTAAAAGATGAAAAGAAGTTTGTCAGGAAGGTAGAGGAAAATAATTCAAATATAAGGAAAAAAGTGTACACTGATAAAGGTATAAAAAGTAACAGTAATTTCAGAAACCGTTAATAATGACGAAGTGCATAGCATGTTGTTGAAACAGTCCTCTTACGAGGCAGAGAGGAATGTAGTGTGACTTAATGTTTCTACTGGACTTTAACATTTTGTTTCTGACAGTCTGTTTGTTTGTGTGATGTGGATGAATTTGTGAACAAATCTGAGAGACGTTTGTGTGCCTTTGCACCTAGTGACATCTAGTGTCTCCCACTCCAAGGGGTTTGTGACGTTTTAGATAATTAAAACTATTTCTTAAAGAAGAAAATATTCATCTAAAGATTACATTAAAACATTCAACTGACTGGGACCAGTAATTAAAGTAATGGCTATGTCACTGAACTCCCATGTAGTTGACTGCAGTTCGAGTCCTAGATCCGGTGGCTTAAACTCAAGCTGGGCGCATGTGCGTACGTGCCAAAGATCTCGAGAGGAGAATGGAGGAGAAGGGATTGCGGCATGGCCATCCCCCCTGGGGGATGATTTCTTGCTTTCTCTGTCTCTCTCTGTCTCTGGTGAGCGCACGTGCCCTGTAGCAAGAAAAAAAAAAAAAAAAAAAACTTTCAACTGACAAAACTGAATGTTCTATTTTAATAAAGGCTATAACTTTTATCTAACTGTTCTAAGCAGTTCATTTTAACAAATATTTGGATTTGTCAGCAGAACTAGATTTAAAAATGACAGCAGAGGAAGAACAAGAAAAGCTTGATGGAAGTGCGAAAAAACAGCTGAAGGTATGGAAATATTTACTTTTAAATTTCTGATTTAATATTATTGTCTTTGCTTTATTAGCATGCATAGTCAAAATTCAATTACCTTTCAGCTAGACTTTTAGAATTAATAGATCGTAGTTAAATATTTAATTTTTCTTTCTTTTTTTTTTTTTTTTTTTTTGAGAGGTTTTCGCTATAGGGCGTGTGCGCTCACCAGACAGACAGAGAGAGACATAGAGACAGAAAGCGAGAAATCACCCCCAGAGAGGATGGTCACGCCACAATCCCTTCTCCTCCATTCTCCTCTCAGGATCTTGGGCACGCACGCACACGCGCCCAGCGTGAGTTTTAAGCCACCGGGTCCAGGAAACGAACCGCGGTCGACTACGTGGGAGTCCAGTGACATAGCCATTACGCTAACTGCTGGTTCCCAATATTTAATTTTTAAAGCATTTTTAATTAGTTATAAAAATTAAAATATTCTTAAAATCTATAGTAACTTATAGGTAAACTTTATCCTGTAATTCAGACAAAAAATTTCTTGAATATGAATTGTTCTTCTATTTTTATAACCACCTTATATAATAAAAATTAAATCAAATATTGAATCATATAATTAAGCAATTGAAATTTTTTTTTTCATCTTTGGAGGAAGTGTTTAATAAGCAGACTTTATTTAAATAAATTCTCCAGGAGACTAGGGAGGGATCACAGTGTGAAGACCTTGTGGGGGGGAGGGGGGTGTGTATCTTGTTCATGTAAGACATAAATTAACTTAAAAACAAAATAAACCACAGCTATGGTTCATGTATACTGAATGTTATTTCAGAAGCGGGTCCTTCTTTATTATTGCTACTTATCACGTTTACTTGTTAATAGCTTCTAAAAAGTATCCTTCCCATTTATCTCTTTAAAAATAAAGTACCTTATTAAATAAACCAATGGATCGACTTACAAGCCACCAAAAAGCAAACACTTGCAAGTATTTTTTAAATTATGTACTGATTTACTTTGAAAGTGTACCACTAAGGAATAGGTTATAGGGAGCATGAAGAATTAGATGCAGGTCATACCATAATTACTGATTTTCACTGTATATCCTGTTGTAATGGGAGCAACCACAGCAGCTGGCTTTTCATTGTCAAGAAGTTCTGTTTTTTTCTGTGATTTCTGTTGCATCTTGTTCTTGATTTCTGTCTCAATTTTGGATTTTTCAGCTGTAAGAGCATCACGTACTCTTTTCCTAGTGGCCTTTTCCAATAACACCTTTATTTCTTCTAGATCTTTCTGTAGCTCTTCCACAGTCGAAGCCATGGTCTTGCTGAGCACTGACCACCCGAGCCGCAGTCGCGCAGGAAAGGGGCAGCAATTGAAATTTTTAACATTATAATAGAGATGACCACTGATTTAGATTTGTGTTACAAGAGTGATTATTCCCAGTGGCTCAAAATTTGCAGTTTTATATTGCCAGTCATGAATAACAAGTTTAAAGACTTATTTTGTTCTGTGGTCTTTAAATAACTTCAGGTTTTACAGAGAGAGTGGGATCATAATTAAGAGAATCTTACCTTTCTTAATGGGATCTTTGGAGTTTAGGGTACAAACAATAACTTTTCTTTTTTAATCATTTCAGTGTCAGAAATCAGTAAATAATACGAGATTTTAAAAAGTCTTTTGTCAGGACCAGCAGTTAGTGTAATGGTTATGTCACTGGACTCCTATATAGTCTACCACGGTTTGCATCCCGGACCCGGTGGCTTAAAACTCAGCGCGTGCATGTGCGTGCATGCCCAAGATCCCGAGAGGAGAATGGAAGAGAAGGGATTGCGGCGTGGCCATCCCCTTGGGGGGTGATTTCTCGCTTTCTGTCTCTCTGTCTCTCTCTGTCTGTATGGTGAGTGCACGTGACCTATAGCGAAAACCTCTCTAAAAAAAAAAAAAGTCTATTGTCATAGTGGACAAGAACATATTAGAAGTAAACTTAAGCAGATAGTTTATATAGTGTAATGCATCATAATGTGTCATTAAAATTTAAGAATTTGCTTTTCTTTCTGATTGGCGTTAATTGATTTGGCTCCTAATAATCTTAAGTTTGCCTACTCTCCAGTGACTAATCTTTTGAAAGAGTACCTAAATGCACTGGGGGAAGGAGAGCTCACTATTTAAGGTATGGTGTGGTAAAATCTGTTTTTATTCTTTTTTTAAAGGATTATTCATTTAATTTTATTTATTATTATCATTTTCAATTTGACCAGAGAGACAGAGGGAAAGTGCAAAAGCAACCCACCAGGTCCTCAAACCATGGCTGGCCATGTGGGAGTATAGTGCCACAACCACCACACCACCTCCCTCCTCCTTATTCTTTGTTTTTAATTTTTAGATTAATTTTACATTTTACACAAAGTCCTATCATGATGTATATAATATATATATATATGTTTTTTTCAACAGATAACTTCACATTTTTTTTTGTCTTAAATGTTTCTTCCCTTCACATGACGTGGCAAAACCTTTTTAAGTAAAGATTTTATAATGTTAAAAATCATCTCCCAACTCATTTTTGGTAGATTTAACATTCAGCGAATTAAGTTTATTCCAAACAAAGAAAGTTAAGTTTGCTGGTTCATGTTTTTCTCCTATTTTACTCTAAGGCAAATTGTTGTGTATTGCATAGTTATGCTGTAGTGATTAGCAAAACATAGGTTAGGAAGTTTATGGTTAAATTTAAATTATTTTCTAATTTTTCTTTGTCCACATTTGATTACTCAAGGATAAAGTTATTTTAAAAACATGCACCCCGACAGAAAATACATCTAAGAATCATATTATGCAAATTAACCTTCCACTTACGCATCTGCAAAAAGTTTCTCAAGAACCAGAAATGACTGAGAATTGTGATAGAGAGGATTTATTTGTGTATTCAAGAGTTTCTTCTTTGCAAGAGAATGAGAAAATAGCAATCAAACGAGGCAAATTGAAGTGGAAACATCAATTTAAACTCATCACGAATGAGTTCAAACAAAGATTTAGTGAAATTTGTAGCAAATTCAAAATTGCTGTTTCTCCTGAGGAAGAGCCACCACATGATAATTCTAAAGGAGGTCCAAACTTAAAGGAAATACCCTCTAATTTGACAAATGATATACTTGATTGTGAGAAAAAAGATGCATCTGGAGTTTCTGTCTCTGTTGTATTCCAGGCATTTCCTGAACGAAAAGAAACTAGTAATGACGACGGTCCATGTCATGTGCCCTCTGAGTCCCCGGAATACAATTGCCAGTCATCTGAGTTTTATTTAAATACAACTAAAGTAGACTGTGAAAATGGTAACAAACCAGACACTGAACATGTTTTTAACACAACTGGGAAGTTTTATAATGTTCCAGAAAATAAAGCAAGAAACCCAGAAGTAGTTACAGTTAAGATGAAAGAGGAACAAGAGTTTGATAAACCGATGACAAAAAAAATGAACCAAAATGCCATTAAATCGAAATTAGACATTGGACCTAAGCAGCAGTCTAGTGAACCAGAAAGCCTTTTGGATTTGTGGCTTACCCGCACCAAAGAAATGAAGCAGATGGTTCAAATAAAAGAGCAAAATATTCCCAGTGTTACAGACACTTATATGAAAACAAAACCAATACAGGACTTGTTCCAGAAGCCATTACATGATACTTGTAATGCTAATAACTATAAAAGCATAGAGCCTGAATTAGAAAATGTAAGTTCTTCTCCAACACATAGGGACAAAACACCAGAAGTACGTTTAGATCAAGAATTACAGCAAGATATGCGAAGGTTTAAGAATGAGATAGACATATTACAAGTAGCCTTCCAGGCTTTGGAGAAAGAAAAAGTTCAAAAAGAGGTAGATGTCTGCTTGTTGCTGCTCTTTATTTTTCTCTATATCAATTATCTAATTCATTCTGATTTTCTACTTATAAAAAGCTTATGTATAAGATGGTGTGCTCTAAATATGTATTTGTGTCTAGAAATACATCCTTTTGGCTATCTAAGCATTCATAATATTTGTTCTTTAATCAACACAAGTCTTATCAGTTTTCCAAATGGCATATCAATAGGAAAGTTCATTTAGCTTTATAGCATATCATCCTCTTAACCAGAATAGACATAGAGGAAATTGCTAAAACCATATCATGAACGCTAGGGATTTTTTCCCCCTCTCTATTGGCTTAAAGTGCATTTATTTAAACAATAAAATGGGAATATCATGGGAAGGAAATAATGACTGAGAAAGTATATTAAAATATATCTAGTGGGCCAGCGCCTTGGCCTGGTAACTAAGGCATCTAGGTGCCACATGATTGACCATGAAGTTCAAGTTCCACACCTGGCAGCTTGAGAAATACACTGAGAATGTGTGCCCAAAATTCCAAAAGGAGAGAGATGGAGGAGAAGAGATTGTGGTATGACCATGTCCCATGAAGGGGATGCTTTCTCTTCTCCTTTCTTTCTTTGTCTCTCTGGTGAATGCATATGCCTTCTAGCAAAAAAAAAAAAAAAGTATCTAGCTTTCAGATATTAACAAATATTCCCAGCCAAATCCATCTGTTTGGTGTGCATTTGCTTATTTAAGTTTATCTGTTTCACTCAAACCGTTGGGATTTATAATTCCAACCTATTATACGTTTTTGACAACATATTAAAATAACCATTCTCGAATCTTGCTTTTGAATTAGACCTTTACAATATATTGTTTAATTGAATATGGTACATTTTTGTATGTATACTTTATCGTGTAAGTAGTACAGACCCTCAGCTAAAAATTAGTATTTGACCTCAAAGTAGAAAGCTGAATTCTGAGGGATACTGAATTTTTTTAAAGAATTATTTATTTAATTTTATTTATTCATTCATTTATTTTATTTTGACCAGAGAGAGA